GATTTATTATTCTTCTCCCCATAAATATAACATGGAGTTTTATTGTTCCACCTTTCACGTCCTCAGGAGTCACCTTCTCGCCAGTTTCTTTCATTTACAAGCGGCGCGAGATTTTCCTGATCGGAGGGAGGAAAAACAATGGCAGATTCCAAAGCAGTTACCATCAGGACCCGAAAGTTCATGACTAATCGCCTTCTATCGCGCAAGCAATTCGTGATCGATGTTCTTCATCCGGGAAGGCCAAATGTGTCCAAGGCTGAGTTGAAAGAGAAACTAGCGAAGTTGTATGATGTTAAGGATCAGAACTCGATCTTTGTGTTCAAATTCAGAACGCATTTTGGCGGTGGGAAGTCTACTGGGTTTGGCCTGATATATGATTCTGTGGAGAGCGCTAAGAAGTTTGAGCCCAAATACCGACTCATTAGGAATGGATTGGCCACAAAGGTGGAGAAATCAAGGAAGCAGATGAAAGAAAGAAAGAACAGAGCTAAGAAAATCCGTGGTGTGAAGAAGACCAAAGCTGGAGATGCTGCTAAGTCGGGCAAGAAGAAATGAATGATGTATTCGGCTACTTATGAGATTATAATTTACAATCTTTTAGTGCTTTGAGTGATTTTGGATTTTGGAACTATTTCATTAGTCTTTTATAGTTTGTGATGTTAAATCTCTTCTAAAGATTTTTTTTCATTACCCATTTGTTGTTAATTGTATGACTTGAGCATTAGATTTCTATTAAAAAAACACATGGAGTTCTGTTGGGCTTTTATTTTTGTGCAAAGCGAGTGTGGATGGCGGCAGAGACAATGGTGTTGCTCGAGCTATAAAAGCAGCTGTCTGAGAGCGCAGCTAATTGTGGGATGTTCGAAACCCTAGCACATTAGCTCCATTCTCGGTTGCTTCTACAAGGTAACAAAAGCCATGTCGTTTCAGAGGTATGTAGAGATCGGTAGGGTAGCACTCATCAACTATGGGAAGGAGTATGGAAGACTTGTTGTTATCGTCGATGTCATCGATCAGAACCAGGCTTTAGTTGATGCACCTGACATTGTTCGTGGACAAATAAACTTCAAGAGGTTGTCCCTTACATATATCAAGATTGACATTCCTAAAATTCCCAAGAAGAGCAAATTGATTGTGGCCATGGATGCAGCTGATGTCAAAGAATAAGTGGGAGAAAAGCTCTTGGGAAGGAAACTTATTGTGCAAAAGAAGAGAGCTGAACAAAATGATTTTGATAGATTCAAGGTTATTTTTGCTAAGTTCAAGGGAGGACATTTTATTTAACGCGAGCTTACAAAACTAAACAAGAGTTCTTCAAAGTGAGGTCCTGTTAATGGTTGTTTATTTTCAGCTAGTGCTTGTTGTAGCGTTCTTGCAATTTTCATTATTTTGCCATTAGAACAAATCAATGCTATGAACACTGGATTTCTAAACTTTGATATGAGTACTTTGTTTAAAAAAAAGGGGGGAAAGTCTGGCTCGACCCTAATGAGGTCCGTGAGATATCCATAACAAACTCAAGGCAAAACATTCAGAAGTTGGGGAAGGATAGTTTCATTATTAAGAAACCTATGAAGATTAACTACATATCTCGTGCTAGACACATGGTAGAAGCAAAGAGGAAGGGACGCCATTCTCGATATGGTAAGCGCAAGGGTAATAGGCAGGCTAGGCTACCCACTAAGGTTCTATGGATGTGTTGTGAAATTTGATTCCTTCTTTAATGATTGAGAGGAATTACTGAAAAATAGTTATTTGTATATACTTCGAATTAGTGAAAGAAAAAAAAAACTTGAATCTTACTACACATAATTTACATTGAATTCAAATAAAAAAAATATATAGTTTGAGAAAATTTTAAAAATGTCAAAATATTTTAAAATATATCTTTTAAGGTATAGAATTTATATTCAACAAAATTGAAAATTAATAAATTGAAAGTAATTTTATTCTTTCAATAGCATAAATTGTCATAAACTTTGGTTTTTAGTCACCAGAAATTCTTTCCATGCCAATTCATTTAATTAAGAAATAATATATTTAAATATAATAAAACTATATTTATATCATTTAATTAAAACAAATATTAAACTTATTAAAAAATTAACAATTACAAAGGATCAAAATGGATCACAAAATCTTCTTATTTATTTCAAAATAGTATAAAAGATATAATCATGATGCATCTGAACAAAATGTTAGCTATAATATTTTAAAATAATTTATTTCAATTTTTAAAAAACTTTCTATCAATTAAAAAATAATCATATACTAGTAAAATATTTATCACCTTATTTATTAATTTTTCATATTTTTGGACTAACTTTAGGAAAAATTTTATATAGTAAAAAATAAAATAAGGGCAAATATACAAACAATTAACCCATTATTATCTCCTTTCACTTTTCTCAATTATTCATCCAATGTTTAATATCTTTGTTGAGAGAAAATAAGAAAGCAATTTCAAATTATTCAAAGTTTGTACTATAATTATATATGAAACAAAGTTTTTTTTTTCCTTTATATAGATTCTCAATTTGATATATAAATGACACCTAATATTGTGTAGGGTAATAAATGAGCCAAATCTTGCATCAAAAAGCTATGAATGCTAATAAAATTGGTCAGTTTACTAATATATATCATCATGGCTATAAACAGAGCGAATAGAAGAGGATAAAGAGTGTTCCCAAGGATTAAAGAAGAGTTTCAGTGATAGTTGACGGGCGACGATGCTCGGAAGAAACATAGTCAGGGCGCGACAGTATTTGGGAGGATATTCGACCCCAATAGCATTCAAGAAGAGTTTTAGTGATAGTTGGAAAATGGACGGAAGTTTAGCTACAATCGATGGTCATGAAGAACTCCGGAGGTGGCATTATTGAATAGAGGATGTCTAGAGCTCTCAAGCTTTCTATCCTCCTGCCCCCTGATGTGAAGAATGAGAAGGATATTTATATATTTTTTTAGTGGCATGGCTAATAAATATATAGAAGATCAAGTGCATGTTGGGAGTGCTCCATCAAAAAGCTTATAGGGATACCCTTGATCTTAGTAGTTATCAAGAATTTAAATGCCCTAGATATTCAGAATTGAGTGATCTTGGGCTTGTTGGATTATTTGTCTCGCTGAGATGCTCGATTTGAGTATAAGCATGTCATATTTAAATATCATTTAATCATCCAATTAATGCTCTAAGGATTCCAAAAAAGCTTTGGTCTTTTGATTTGAGCACATTTGGGCTCGAATTTGGTGTTAGTGGATTCGTCTCCTTGAGATGATCAATTTGACTAAAAGTTTGTTGAAATCAGAGTTCAGATGACTCCAAATTTAATTTTGTAAGTTTTTTAGTCATATTTGTATCGTGATTCGTGCTAGATCAAGCTGATTTTTGATAATGTATCAATTATATATAATTGATGTAGAGATGAACAAACTATTTTATCAATACACCATATTTTAATATGTGAAGATGATCTCATAAAATAGATAAAAATGCTTTTGAACACCGAAAGGCCAACAAATTTGAGTGCTTATTAAGAGATACAATAGCTTCACCTTATGCTCAATCAAATGAATCCATACTCAAATCAAACCTATCATTTCTTTTAGCTTCGTTTCTTTCTTTCTTTTGAATACGAAGATTTTGCACCACAGCTAAATGAAGACAATCTAATACTTCCCACAAGGAAACTATGGGTGCGGGAAAACTATGGGTCAAAATTTTACTCTTTAAAAGCATTCTAGGCCCACTTGCTTTGGTTTACACTGATGCTACAACTTGGGCTACTCAGAATAGTCCAGCCCATAAGCCCATTATTTTTCGGAGAGCACAAGCCGTTTGGCCCACCGCACCTACAACAACAGACAATTAAATCAGAATAAATAAAACTTATAGTTATTTCTTCACAACTCACAAATATAATTTGATTAAATTCAATTATCACTTCCATATTATATTTATATTTTTACAGTTTCAAAATAATGTCTTGTTCAAGACCCGGCACTAAGTCCCTACGTCCTACTCAGGGCCCGACATTCAGTCCCTACGTCCTGCCGAGGACCCGACGCCTTACTTAAGTAATTGATTGTAATCTGTTCACCCCTGGAGGTGATTCAGTCTTTTGTAACCGACTCAAAATCTAGTGGAACCATTTTCAACTGGGCTAGGCCTCGTGGTTTTTTCCCTTTTTAGGGTTTTCCACGTAAAAAATCCTGTGTTCTCTGTGTGTGCTAGTTATACGTACAACGCTAAGACGTAGAATCAAATCTCTATCGCCGCGTAATTTCTAGCCCGCAACAATAATAATCATAATTAGTTTTTAGTATTTGGATGTTAAAAGTAATGCTACAGATGTCAAACAGGAAAAAAATTATTACGTGTGGAGTCCGGACACGTCGGGAGCCTAATCTAGACGCACCACTTCACCTAATGCTAAGCAGTGCATTGGGTGATGCGGCTCGTCCGAATTGACCTCCGAACGTGTTCAGACTCTGCATGTAATAATCTCTCGAGTGCAGTTGAAGCTTTGTTGTTTCTATTATATGTAGCTAACATGATATATTATTTTCATACAATTAAAATTTTGGGGATTCACACAAGGACAAAACAATTTTGCATATATTTATATATTTAATATCTAAGTTTTGATATTTATTTATGCAAAAAAAAAAAAATCTTCAGACTATTTGTATAACTAATTTAGATGTTTTATGCGAATATTGATATGTTAATTATTTATAATTATTTACTTTTCTTATAAATAGATCATTCTATGGTTAAATTTTGCTAAGCATCCTAATGACTTAGGATAATAGGGTTTATGGTCTCAAGAGTCCTCAATCATCATATTGAAGCTACCCAACTTATTTTGGATTTTTACCTATGCTTTATTTGGAATAGTTTTCTTACTATTTTGTAAAATTGTTGTAGATAAAGGATTCGTTTGAGACAACTTTTTTGTTGTTTTCTAAAACGACTTTTTAGTACAAAATTTCATGAATTAGAACTTTTTATAAAAAATAAATCACTTTAAAAAGCAGAAAAAAGCTGTCTCAAACGAAGATAAAGTTAACTTTTTAAAGTAGTTCCATAAAATGGCTTTCAAGACTGGAGCTGCCCTCGTGCCTCTCCCTCTGGACGGCCTTTGGAGTTCTTTTCACCTATGGCATTTTGTTTGGCCTGGCAGCTTTGCGTGCACCCCGCTCCACTCTGGTGCTGTTCTTCATTGGCAACCAGGGAGAATTTTGTGATGTTCTCTGTTGGCACTGGACTTATGAGCTTTCTGGCTTTGATGTTAGTTTGTCCTTGGGCAGTCTCCAGGCTAACTGAGTCCTGGTTTTTGTTTTCTTTTGCCTGCGTTTTCATTTTTGTGGTTCTTTCATTGGGGTTATTGGGTATAGTTTTGGCTAGTTTTCTAGCCTCATTTTCTGTATCTCTGTAATTCTGTAATTTTGGTATATTCAATATACGGGCCTCGCCCCAAATTTTCCCAAAAAAAAAAAGTACAAATTTTTTAAAAAAATATTAACGATTAAATCAAAATTGTAATTGCTATCTGAAAAATAAAGTAGTAAAAAAAAATTATTCCAAACAAAACCTACATAATTTAATAATGAACCATTTGTTTTTTTTTTTAATAATGAATTTGATTCGAATAAATGTTCTCATCAGC